GTGTACATAGTAACGTATTTTTGTTGCGACATTTGCACGTATGTCATCATTATCATATTTTTCGTCTTACCGTATATGTGGAAGAGAAGAAGGAATCAACAAGATTGATATTTGGAAATACGGTGAAGCTCCTGCATAACGAATCACTTGAGCTTTAAAATTTGTTTGTTATGAAGAATTTTTAGTATCAAGGAGTTTAAATACACTTGGTTGTACTAGCTAGGACTGCCCTGCAGTTGTATTAGCTAGGGGTTTGGAGATTGCTCTTTATACGAGATTTTTGTTATAAATGTATGAGGGTTTGTTATAAGGAAGGCATACTGCATAAAAACCGTCCAATTAAAATTTTTTAATTTTTAAAAAAGCTTTTGTTTTTTTAAGTTCATTTTAAATTTAAACTTTTCACAAATTTAAAAAACGTTTTGTCTTGAGTATTTGACTATTATATTAGATTGTCCCAAAAGTAGTGGGACACTTTTTATCGTATAACTTTGCCTTTTTTTAAATCTGTGCATTATTTTTTTTTACAATGAATTAATTTTTGAAGAATTTTTTTACGACGAATCGACCGGTATAAAAATTAAGTTTATTACAGTGCAGATTAGGTTCTTTCCTTTCCTTGTTAAATTATTTAAAAAAAAATTTTTTTTTTGAAAACAATTTTTAAGTTTCATCGCCGGCCGCTTTCATTTTTTAAAAATTATATAGTACTAACTCTCCCAACCCACCTTCAGAAAGTCGGAAGCATTTGTTTCACAATTTCCAATAAAACCCATCAAAATTGATGTAAACACATACTTGACAAACATATCCTTTGTTATACATACCGTAATGAAACCGTTGAAACGCGGTAATTTAACACGTTTTATGGTTTGTTTTGAGTGTTGTTATTCCAGGTTATTTCCGTGTTCTTTCTACGTGTAATTTTGGCCATGATTTTTGGGCTTGTTAATTGTTTGTTAGGCTTTGTACGTAATAGGTTATTTATTGATTTGAAAAGTATAACAAGTGTCATTACATTAAGGTACATGAACATTAAGGTACATGAGGTGTGAATGGTTTGTGGTCTAGTTTAAGGGCGGTTTTTAGTCATTTCTGTACAATGTAAGTTCTGTATAACGAGCTCCTGTATAGTGAGCATTCTGTTTGACGAACAACTTTTAAATTCTGGGCTGTTAAACAGTAAAACTCTTATAAATAAAAAATAGTGTAATTCTACTACAGCATGCCTATTACGTATACCTTTTTTAATTATTACAATATCTTTCCAATTTTTGCAAGAATATTATATGTAAACATGTACGTGTGCTATTGGCAGGATGTAAAAACTGTAAAATTTGTTTATTTTTCTTAAGTTTTCATCGAATTTAGTGTAAAATTGCATACGCAAATTATAAAACTTTGTAACTACGTGAACGTAATTCACGATTGACTAATATTCTAGTGTAAAAATGCAATGTCATGTGGCAAATTTTATGATTTTTAGCACGAGATTTTATTGAAAAATAAGGTTTTTAGGCTTTAAAATGCTGCGAAAATTCAAAATAATGTTAAAATCTATGATATTTTTTCATTAATTTTTACGAGTTTTAGATTGATTACAAGATATATATTGCTTTATAATTGTATATTAGTACTTAGAACTACATAATATGAACTTTCTGATTGTCAAAGCCCTGGTAATGAAATGTTTCATTATTATTTTTATTTGGTTTTTTATGCCTTGTGGCTGGCACTATTTGATACTAAAATTGTTGTAAAATACGATATTTGTAATATTGCCGCTTTTAAAACTCTTTTTGTTGCTTTAAAATTTCAAAAACAATTAAAAAATTTCTAAAAAACATCAAAATGCCCAAAGGCACTTTACCTAACACTAATTTTTCAAAAACTTTTTTAGTTTCACTACATTTTAAATGTACTGCAAAGAGTTAAAAGACTTAATTGACATTGAGCCTTTATTGGTTTACACCACGAACTGTTTGTACTTCAACTTACTAAAGCAAGTGCCACACGCTATGAAAACCTTTCTGGAAAAAACATATTTGTTATGGATTAGTACAGTAATCATGGCGTATTGTTAGTTTAATTAAGCAGCTTTGTAGTTTATCGAGCTTATTAGAATAGGTAAGAAAAACAAGACTGACCGTAAAGATGAACTTGTGTGCTGGGTTTTACTATCAACATATACGAAATGATGTAGGAATTGCTTTTTTATTGTATTTTTTACCTACGTAAAACCCTGCCTTATCCTTCCATACCTTTTAAACGGATAACAATGTAGTAAATTGTTTACTTATATAAGTTATTAACCTTTCAATACCAAATATTGTAACAATGTTTTTCCGTTTACGACATGAATGTTTAACTGTTTATTAGAATTGACACGCTTTCTAACTTGAGTAAATTAAGTTTACTCACTCAGTTTTCAGTAATTATTATATTGAGTTTTTTTCACATAAAAAATAAAAAAAAAATTTAACTTTTACCCAAGGTTTTAAGCTACCGTAAGTTACATTTTATGCTAACTGTCATGTGGCATATTATAGGCGGAAATTGGTTTGTATGTTCTAGTAAATTGCAAGATACGTTGATATAAAAGTGCAAGGATTAACAGTTCTAATTCCTTACTATGTACATCACTACCTCGTTACTATCTTCTTTGATTTTTTAAGGTGTTGCATTTGGTTTTTCAAATAAATCTGTGCCTTCCTTTAAAGCAAACTGTTCGGGTCATGGAACACGGAGTTATTTGAACAAGTTAATACATTAAGAATATGTTTTATAAGACTTTTTGTTCATAGTCTGGCTGGGCTGTAGCTACTTTAATTGTCACTACCCGACTCTATTTAAGATATAGAGTCGGGTAGTGACAATTAAAGTACGAAGTTTCATAAAAATTTAAGTCCCAAAAACAAAAAAAAACCTTCATCATAATATAGTACACGTTATGTTTACTAACCAGAATTTGTCCTCAAAATAATCATATGATATCATTAAAAATGTATTTTTAAGTTTTATCTTGGAAAAAAAAACTTTTTTTGAAGTAATCCACTTGTTCATAATACGACGTAATTACAATCTATCATGTCATTGGGTTACACTCGTTATAGTATATACATAATAAAGACAGGTTTTTTGGTCGTTTACAACTTTATGGGATTTTTGTAGTACTAGGGTTGATATTTGTCGTACTATGTTTAAACTAGGGCTAGAGGTGGGGGTGGGTAGGGTGGGTTAGATAACATGTACTGTATGTAAGTTCAAATTGAATGTAGGGGCTTTGCTGCTATTTTCGAATATTATATATCATTATTTTTATAACTTACAGAGTAAAAACAAAAACTAAGTACTATTTAGCATATACGTACTGTACTGCACTTTTTATTATTCTTTAATGTCTTCGTATCTACTTTTGTTGATATCAAATTATAATGATCTTTTTGGTATTACTTTACTATGTTATGACAAAGCTTCTTTACCTTGGTTTTCCGTTTTTAATATATGGCCGATGTGGTTAATATTGCTGTAGCTTTGCATTACATTAAAAAATTATTTACACAGCACTTTTCGTACACTATTATGTATATGTGATGTAAAAATAGTAATCTCTTATTGTTTCCAAATTATGAAACATTGAGCTATAGTAAAGTCACTATACTACGTGACTTTAATATACATATTCTTTTTGGTCTCTATTTTTATTTGTTTTTTTGTGTTTTGTAAGACATATACGCTGTTTTACCATTGTCTGTATCAAATGATATTAAGTTTGTTGATGCTTTCTTTGTTTAACTAAAACTTGTGGACTAACATGTTCCAGACAGTTTGTATCATAGTACTTATTAATAAATTTGGTTTTTTGAATTTTAAAGATAAAAGATAATGCAGACAATTGTATTACGTACAAGTATATTATAATAGCAGTAGTTAATCTCAAAATTGACCTTATCGTAGTGTTTGAAACAATGTGGCAAATTGGTTATACGTCTGCTTGAAAAGTAAAACATCTTTTTGACGATAAAGTGTTAAAGACAACAAAGTAACATAACATTATATATGTAAAGTTTGCTTCTGAAACATTGTTATAGTTTTTTGTTGAGGAAGAGAGTAGGAAAGCGAAAGAGGCAAGGTGAGAGCAGATCTACCCTAATAAGACTCTCTACGACATATTTTTTGAAACATCATACTACCCCGCCTAGTAAGTAGTAACTTATTGAATATCTTTTTAAGACAAACCTTGGCGTGTTTTACAAAAAATTTTTCTATTTTTTGATTTTTCTTTATAATTCACGATTTTTAACATCATATTAATCTATAACCTTCTCTACTCCCAAACATTTTTCTGTTTTGCAAAATGTGATAACAATTTTCCGCGGCTTAATATCTAACATGCTTAATCAGATTCAAACAGTGAGCCATGTTTGTTAGTACATAATTAATAAGGATTTGCATTTCCAAGGCCCCTCCTTAACGTGCGAACGTTCGGAGGATGAAAATAGAAGACATTGGTGTCTATGTACTTTAAGGTTTGGGTGTAGATTTTGGTTTTACTGTAGAAATTTTTGTTGATATAGGCTTTACTGAGTAAAATTGATATATTTAATGAAAGCTTTTTTTTAAACTTGATATTGTTTTGTATTATCAACAGCTTTTTTTTAATTTTCCTTATTTTTTATTTTTTGGCGGGAAAAATAAAATAAAAATATTTTAATTTGTCAAATATTTTAAAAATTGTATTTTTTTCTTCTACTTGCTAAATTTTATCATTTTTATTACTTTACAGTTTGTTATGACTCATTTTGGTTTTGGCGGGAAAAGCAAAGTTCAAATTTTCCACTTTCTCCACAATCAACAAACCTGCGCGGTTTTTTGAAATTTAAATTTTTCGAAATACTAAATTATTAACTTCTACCCATTCCAGCACTGCTGAACAGGGTACACATAAAATCAGCTGGAGGACACCAACAGCTACGATTATCTCCACCATCAAACACAAAATGAACCAAATCCAATTACTGTTGATCTCGACTGTTCTCGTCGTTCTTGGCACAGCGAAACCGCTAGTCCAGCCGTTTGTTGGCGATTTTGACAGTGACAGGTCGTTAAAGCGACTGTTACTTGTCGATTTGCGCGATATTGTGAATAACGAGCCCGAAGTCGAGGTTACACCGTTGAATGTTGACGATAGTGCCGTAGAGAGGATTCAGAAGAGGAGGCTGGTGATGGGCATGCCCAACATACTGCATATGGGCAACAAACGCATGGCGAAGAGAATGTTAAGGGGTGCGCAGTTAGTGCACGATCTGGCTATGAACAAACGGCGGATAAGTAAGTTTTGAGAAAGTGATACTAATGGTACTAAAATTTAAAAAATGGTACCAATAGTATTGAATTTAAGAAAACAGGGCCAGTACGGTTCTAATTTGTAAAAATTGTACAAAACATATTTAAATTGAAAAAGTGGTACTAATAGCACCAAAATTTTTTAAAATTGGTTTTAACGGTACTAATTAGCCTATTTTTCTTAATAGTACTAATTAGTAGCATTTTTACATCAAATTTAACTTTTAATCTACTACAAAATTACAAATTTTTTCAAAAATCATTTTCAAAATCTCCTACTACAATATTCAACAACATCCTCATGTTGCACATGACCGTATAACTTGTTGTCCCATAAGTTTCTCACCCTCTTCGCGGTGATATCACGGTGCCAATCTCGCTTTTATATGAATATTAATTTTTGCTGAATGTGACGATTAATATTCATATACGACACTGAAACTTAAAAAAAAAGTTTATGAATAGACCTGGTTTCTTGGAAGCGGCGCATGCTAAACGTACGAGTTTTCACGTGAAGAAAAGAGGGGTTTGCACTAGTTTAGACTTGACTATTTGTAAATGTAAAAAGTTGTGACAATTTGCAAAAACCAATAATATTTGTGACACTTCGTCAAAAACCAATAATATTTGTGGCACTTCGTCAAAAACCAATAATATTTGTGGCACTTCGTCAAAAGCAATACTTTTTGTAAGGTTTTGTCAATTTCAATACTTTTTGTAACACTTCGTCAAAAACCAATAATATTTGTGACACTTCGTCATATCAAAAAATAATTAAGGATTTTTAACAAAAATTAATTTTTTGCTTTTTCAGGTATGCACATGCCAAACCTGGTGTACATGCGGCCCCAGAAGTAACGGATGACATGAGAACAGTGGTACCCGTCAACACTCCAAACAAATATTTTCGTATTTAAAAATTCTGTTTCTTCAAGCAACTTAATAAATTCGATCTTTTGTAGCCTTTATAAGCTTATTTTAGACCTAATTTAGGCTTAAAGAAATTTTAATAGAACTCCAACTGTATTAAACTTAAAAAAGCTGGTACAATTCTGTACAAACATAAGGTTTAAATACCCAAAACCTATAGAAATCACGAGAAAAGACAAAAACTTTAAGAAAATGTATTCAAATACCCCTTCACAATCTGAAATTGTCTTTCAAAATCTTCTCCAAATTCAAAAACGCTTCTGGAGTGACGTCAGGACAAGGGTAGTTGACTTGAGGTTGATGATCTCCACTTGGTGTGCCAGCGTTAGCTTTATTTCTCTTTCTCATTAGCTCTCCCAGGCCATCGGAATCATCAGTGTTCTCGTTCTCTGGAGCTGGAGAATTAGTGTTGTTACTAGTAGTGCTCTGCTTGGTATCCGTGGCTTCATCCTTCTTTTGTTCTTGTTGCTTTTGTTCTTCGGCCTTCTTTTTCTCTTCCTCCTCTTTCTTCTTATCTGCTTCCTTTTCTTTCTCCGGATCTTTTTCTTTGCTCACTTCTTGGCTTATCTCTTCTTTTGAGGTTTTAGGGCCTTTGGGCTTCTGAAAATTTAAAAAATTTGAAAAAACTTTGAAAAACTAAAAATTTGCTTTGAAACAAATCAAGATGGATGCAGTAATGTAACTAAAACTAAACCTGACCTAAAAATTTCTTTCGATGGGTTGTTGACTAAATAAGTAAGCTACAATCCCTGTAGCTTTTAGAATTTTAGACCCTTTTCAAAAAGAGTTATTTTTAAAAATAACCAAGCCTTTTCCCATATTGGACTCAATCCCTACCTCTTTGTTCTCGCTCTCCACCTTTTCTGAGCTCTTTTTTTCTTCTTTCTTCTCCGGAACTAACTTTGATTTCAAAGTGAACAATTGTGTAGGTTCGGGCTTATCTTCAACTGGAACGGCCGTCTTCAGAGGCGATGTGGCGATACCAACGCCGGTAGGACGTTTACGGAATGGACCCTTTGGTGGTTCCTGAAATAAAAAAAATATAAAATCTTAGAAAAAACGTTTAGCTCTTTCAAATTGAATATTTTTTAAATTTTTAAAATAATTATAGTTATCCAATAAAATTTGTGGCATTTCGTCTCAATCAATAATGTTTTTGACATTTCGTTATATGTCAACTTTATGGACCTAAATTCGTTGAAAATCTTTAGTTAGTACACTATAACTGTAAATTTTATGAAAAAATAATTGTAAAATCACAAAAATGAAAGGAAACTCACAAAACGGCTGTAAGGATTGTCCTTCTTCCTCTTCTTGTGAGGTGTAGAAGGTACATGACTCTTCTTGTGCTTCTTTTTCCCCTTACCGCGAGTCTTCTTCCCTTTCCTCTTCTTTATCTTGGAACAGTTGGTCAGCAACATGAAGAACATGTTAATAGCGACAAGTACCCCAAAAATCGTCAATCCATAACTGAAAACATCGGCAACACTTCTCGAGGCTATTTTCACTGAAATTTAAAGTTTTAATTTGAAATTTCATTGAAATTCAAGGTTATATTATCAATTTTCCAAAGTTACGTTATCGATCTTCACGAAATCTTAATTAAAATTAGGGTGTTACCTAAAATTTCAAACAGAAAATCAAACTTTTACCTGACAACACCTCGGGGTTTGAGAATAACATTGACATTAGAGGTTGGAAGCGCCAATATATTAAACCAACCGGCTATGATTTTGAAAAATAGACAAGTAATCGTTCTCAAAATGACAACGAATTTTCATAAATTCCAAAAAAATTCAAAATATGAATAATTCAAACTTTAGGTAAAATAATTTTATTTTTTAGGCAACAAAAAAAAATGAAATAACTTTTCGCAAAAAAATTTCATTTTATTACTTTTCACATCAAGAACGGTCGATATTGGGATAGGAAATGCCAGAAAGTAAGGCAGAAGAAACAAGTCCCGAACTCAGCGAGAATCAGAGCACCAGGGCTGGTATTGTCAGGACAAAACTAATTCAGGTAAAATTTTTTTTATTTTTATTTTTTTTAGTATTGAAGATTGAGTTGAAAATTATAAAACCTGTTAGTAAACGTGCCTTTCCTTGTTATAAATTTAATATTTCCTGGTTATGTGTTGCAGTGTTTGCAGCCTGCGGCTTGAAAGCCCGGGCGCGAGCTCTTGCAGCTTCAAAAACCAAAATTTTTATTTTTTTCGGTAATTAATTGCAATTTTGTTCGTTTTAGCTAAATTTTAGGCTTATTCAGTATCCCTTCATTTATCTGTTTGTTGCATTTTAAAAATCATATTGGTTTCCGCTCTAAAATTTGTTAAAATAATATTGTTATAGGTAAACAGCTACGTAGCAGGCGGAGTAAACAAAGTATTGGCTGATGAACCATACTACCATGGCTTCCTAGGCCCAGAAGAGTGTAATCCTTTGTTGAGAAAGAATGGCGATTTTATTGGTAAGCTGTTGAGAGATTTTAAGTTATATTATATTATCCATGGCGTCAAAGTTTCTAAATTTAATGAAGAGTTTTTTTAGTGCGCAAAACTGAATACGAGGGACAACAACCATATGTTATTAGCATCTACTATGATTTGGAAGTGCATCACTACAAGGTTCATCAGACTTTGGCTGTGAGTTTTTGTTTTTATTTGTTTTCAAGGTTTAGGTAAGTGGAAAGCTGAAGATGGATAATATGTTGCATAATTTATGGTTATTTTTGGGTTTATTGTTTTTCAAAGCTAGATATTATAATAGTGAAACATTTGGCACAATAGGAATTTTTATTGTTTTCTTTTTTTAAATGAAGATATTATCATTTAGTACACTAGTTATGGTCTTATTTTTTAGAAACGTCTTTATTATGTGAAAGCCTATGCATTCAAGACGGTAGTTGACTTGATTCATTATCACTATCGTAATCACAAGCCTATTGCGGAGGACACTTACCTAAAAACTCCTATTCGAAAAGAAACATGGCAGCTCTTTCATGAACAAGTTTCTAGAACCAAGAAGTTGGGCGAAGGCGCTTTTGGTAAGGAGTTTTGAGCATTTTAGGTAACAAATTGTAATTCTTTATAATTTTAATTTTTTGAACTTTATTTTTATATAAAGAAGCTTAAATTTAAAATCATATAACACCTACTCAACCTAAAACAACATAGCAACATAAAATTTCAGGCGAAGTATTCCTCGGAGAACTGAATCTAGACTACAATTCCAGTAGAATCCCGGTAGCTGTCAAGTCACTTCATACGGATGCAATCGAAACTGACGAACGTCTCAAGTTCCTTCAAGAAGCCAATATCATGAGAAGATTGTCTCATCCGAACATTGTCAAATTATATGGAGTTTGTACTAGTCAGGAGCCTATTATGGTCGTAATGGAATTGGCAGCTCATGGAAGCATTGTGTCAAAGGTTCAGGACAAAAAGGATCCGCCTACTGATGGGTTGAGGGTAAGTTTTTTTTTGGTTTAAAAGGGGGAAATGGTAGATTTTAGGTAGAAAATGGAAGTTTTAGGTATATATTTGGGGAAAAATGGTTTTTTAGATACATTTTTTATAAAATATATTAATTTATAGGTATATTTATAAATAAAAATCTAATTTTAGGTATATTTCTGTTACGGAGCAGCCTGTGGCATGCGATACCTCGAATCCAAAGAAACTATTCACCGTGACATTGCGGCAAGAAACTGCTTGTTGGGAGAGAACTACGTTCCAAAGATTAGTGACTTTGGTCTGTCATTGTTGGGAAGTGCTTTTAGGGAGAAACAGCTAAAACATTTGCCAATCCGATGGCTGGCTCCAGAAACCTTGAGATTCGGAGCCTACAGCTTCAAGACTGACGTTTGGTCGTTTGGAGTCTTGATGTGGGAGGTTTACTCGAATGCAGAAACACCATATAAACATACGGAGAACAAACAGATCAAGAAGGGAATTCTGGATGGCACGGTGAGTATTTTTGGTGATGATTATGGGTTTAGTTGGCATGAGATGTTTGAGATTAAAACACGTTTTTTTGTTAATAAATTTGGGACTAAACTGTTATTTATGGTTGAAAAGATTAATTTTAGGTAACAAATAAAACTAAAATTGTTTTTTAGGTAGTAGATATGATGTTTTGAAGTAAGTTTTGGATTTTTTAAACTTTGAACTCAAGTGTTTTTTATTTTTAGCTCAAACTCCGTGATGTTGAAATAATGCCTCAGGCCATCAAGGAAGTCATGGACAATTGTCTGATCAGAAATGGAAATGAAAGACCAAGCTTTGCCGAACTGGTCGATATGCTTCGTCCAATCAACGAACAATATAACCCTCCAACTTTTATGCAAAGACTCAAGAGAATTTGCGGAAAGGAGTAAAAGATATTGCTTTAGATATGTGGTATATTGGACTAGTGAACATATAATTTTTATTTGAGAAGCCTAATTTAAATTTTATTTGCTCAAATTAACTTCTTCAGTAAGATCTTCATCTGACAATTCATAAATGACAGTATCACATTCGGTTCCCTGAAGCTCCGATGCCCATGTCTCTACAGTATCTCGGTCTTTGGTATTGTGCACAGCTGTAAAGTACGGTAAAGAACCTTCCGGACACTCGTATTTTACATGATCAGGTACATGGAAAAAGCCACGCCAATGAAGAACTTTGACTTCAGTTTCTCGTCGTACTATGCCAGTGAAGAAGGCGTCATCCATGTGGACAAGGTCCACGTTTTTGGCAGCTTCAGCGATGGTTTTTATTGTGTCATTTGTGGTTAGTACGAAGTAGCCGAAACAGTAAGGAGGCCAGTAAGGTTCTGGGAATTCTTCGTATGAAATGTACCTGAAAGTTGGAGTTTGAGGGTGTAAAGGTTGTTCAAATAATTCTGTGCCCGACAACTTTAAAAATTTGCTTTGAGAGGTGCACAGAATTTCTTGAACAACCTAATAGCAAAGCCAGTACCTTCAATCCCAGAACCTATTATCTATCGCCCTACTCCGTAATAAACATACCATCTATCCCCCTCCTCCCTAGTCGGCGGCCACTGGTATATCTCATGACATATAAAATACTCTGTTTCATTGATTGTCAGTCCATCAAATTCATGTTCAATCCAGTAGAATAGTCGCTCAAAATCTGTTGTGACATCCTCATCCATTTTTAAAAAATATTTTACATTGGGGCAAAAGGTCATGTGGTAATCATGCATACTGTTCCATTTCACATGGGTTTCACGGTAAAAGTCGTCGTGGTTGTAGTAGACTATGTCATTGTAAGTGAGCATTTCTGAGATTAGGACGTTGAAGTTCAAGGACTTGGAATTGCCAATGAAGAAACGAAATGTCACTAATCGATTGGTCTGGAAATGGCATGGATAATATGATATAATGTGTGCTTTTTTATATGTACATGTACTATGATATGTTAGGATTTAGGAGCGGCAGTTCAAGTATGAACTGAGAAGTAGTATTTTAAGAGGGTGGGGTAAAGGGGAGAGGTAAAAAATTTTTGAAATTTTTTAATTTTGAAGTGGAACTCACAGTGTTCCTAATAATCTGCCGTATCGTCTGCCTCCTCCCAAATGACTCTGCCTCACTTGTTGTCATGATATACACTACCATCTCCATGCCATCACAATACATACTATCATAAGGAGCTGTCATATTGTACGAAAACTTTGTCTCACCTAATTCCAAATTGACTTCCTTCGTTTCAAAAAGTGTTTCGAATTCTGTAGCAGTCAGGTTATGGTAATTTGTACGTAACAGCTTCAAAGTTTTGTCCTTTTCGCTTAGAGATTCATCGGAATTAGCATTATCTAGAGAAGCATACATGGGTTGTGCAGTTTGGTTCTCAGTGATGTCTTTGATTAAGTAGTTTTGAAGCAATATTATGAGTACAGTACATAACACTGAAAGTTTTGAAATTATTATATAAAATACATAAAGTGAAACTACTGTATAACGAACTCCTCTAGAGAGTCAATAGCTAACACTATAAAGTGCATTTAAAACTCCTTGATACTAGGTTTGTTTAATAAAAAGGCCGAGCCAGGACTAGACATGAGAAAGGGGTTGGACCTGAATGTTAGGCCCGGCCCGATCGAAATTTTGGACAGGCTCGGCCCGTTTCTCATGTCTAGCCAGGACTGTAAAAAGGTTGATTCAGGCTTTGGTTTGGGTAACTTGAAAAATTCACAACTTGAAAATATAATATTATACTTGAGCAATTTGTTATACTTATACGTTATGCAGAAGTTACATTGTAATATAATTTTTAAACTTACCTATAAAAACAACCATTAGAAAAGTCTTCATAACAAAAAATTTACGAAATATGAATACGTCACAAATGTAATTATTTTGGTTAAAATGAAAAGAATAATTTTTAAATTTAAAGTTTTAACAAATGACCTTTTAAACCAAAACAGAGAATTAGTTCAAAGTATAGGACAAATGCCTACGCCTTCTTCTTTTGACAGCTAGTCAAATAGTACTACAATACAGTGTTTTTGAACGGAAGGAAACAGAATAAGCTAACAAGAATAAAAATTAAAAAAATAAGCTATTATCTTTACAGCAAAAGTTAAAATTTATTACGCAGAGTTAAGTTCATAAATAAAATAAATAGTAGATAACTTCTAGTAAAAGGTAAAACTGACGGCAATATTTAATTTTTTTCTGTAATTTTTTTTGTTTTTGAATTTGAAACTTGTGGTATTGTTTGTTATTGAAGGTTGTGTCTATATAATTACAGCTGTGCAAACTTTGAAGATTTTAGCTTGAAAAACTTTTTTATTCTGATTAAAAAAGGTTAACACCAAAAAAATAAAAATTGAGAATACTTGAGTATAAACAGTCTTTACTAAAAGTTTTTTTAGTTATACAGTAGTAGTAGATAGACCAAGGAAAACGCTAGGCTAAGGAGAGGAAGCAGTTGCAGGAGATTGATCCACTTCTTCTCCATGCTCATCATGGCCGATTCGAAAAAGAATTCGCAGGTACAGGTACTACTTGTACATCAAAAAAATTTTTTTTAATTTTTACTTTATTTCCTTTTTTCTAACTTTATCTAACGTATCTCTCCTCACCTCAATCTTTAGCGACGTCCTTCACCGAGCCATTATGTTACTTTATTTTATAAGATGTAAGGTTTAATTTACAAATCCCCGTTTTACTGCTTTTGTTCATACTTATCTTATCCTACTCTTTCATACTCCTGAGTAAACCCAAATTTTAAAAAGTTTTAAACTTTAGTTATTGTTTATTACTTAATTCAAAATAGCATTTAGTTAACTTTTCAAGCATCATAGAACGCATTACTCTTGAGATGAAGGAACATTACTGTTGATATTAGAAGCACTGTGTACACTTTGGACTGTGCTTCCAGCAACTTTGTTTTTACAACCAAATCGTCGCAGTAAAATACGTTGTATACTTTTGTTCATGGTGAGATAAACTACTGGGGGTGCGCCTGAAAATGGCATTAATAAAATTAAAAAAAAATAGTTTTAGATTCATTCAAAACTTCAGAAAAGTCATTTTTAAAGTGTTTAAAATGGTATAATTACCTTGTATAAACATCCACATAACATGGCTCAATTGTGACATCCAGACAGGTATTTTGAAGAGTTGTATAACAGTATAGCCGAGTGTAGCCATTGTTGTTGCTGCACTGATTATAAGACATTGCATGAACAACTAAACATTTTTTTATAAAAAGAGTTAAATTTAAGCTACATTAACCTATTACATAAACATTTTTTTAATAAGAACACTCTACCTTTCGTATTTTACATTGTAAAAATTTTTTTATTTCTTTTTTTATTTATGTTTAGATAATTCTGCGCCCCCTTTTAAAGCAAATTTTCAAAGTTATAAGGCTCAGAGTTATCTGAACAACGTAATATTAAGTTGTATAAAAAATATTGAGCTAATAATTTCTTTGATTTTGCGTTAATTTACACTGTAATCTCTGGCAGATATCTTCTGACTGCTTCTTTGTCGTAATAAAGCTATGTTTTGATATATGAAGACAATGTAAATTGTAGGGAGTAATAGAGTAAACAGCACGTTGTTGACAGTATGAACTGGCATGGTGTACTAAAAAGTGAGTTTAATATGTGTAATATAAGTGTTTTCTCTTCTGTTTATAATGTGTTGTTCAAATAATTCTGTGCTCCGTATTAAAGCTATATTTTGAAAATTACGAGGCACCGAATTATTTAAAATGTCATACTTCGATCTTTTCTATCTCTTCTTTAATTACTTCTTGCCTTGCTTGCCCCTGTTGGCTGTCTGTCTATGCTTACTACTCTACCAACCCCCTCCTTACCACTCTGTCAACATCAGGTACAGTATCAGTGAAAGGATGAAAAACCCAGCTAGCTATAACTGGTGAAAATGTCACTGGCAATCCAAAAACGCAACTATATATTCCAATCAATATTGACAATGAGATCCAAACATACGCTCTGTACCCATTAAACCAATGACTTTTGTTTGTCATGTATGATATACGGTTTATGGCCAATATCATACTGCCCCATGTGTAGGCCATCCAGAATCCTGAAAGTAGAATCTTAATTTTGAAATTGATATTGTAATCCAACTGAAACTGTAGGACGGCCCAGCAGGTTTATTTAGTATTTCTGGTTCGGCCCGGCCTCATCCTAGCCCTGGTACCGAGCCTGTCCTAAGCAAGTATGTATAGAGCTTTTTTTTTAAAATACGTGCAGTATAAACAATCTTTCTTACCAAGCAATATACATCCACTAATATTGTTTAACCTCTTTGCTTCACAGTACATTAAGCCATAGTAACTCAAGTAGCCAGATATAAAACCAGTGATTTGTACTGTAACCAAGTCACAAAATCCCATCAACAACATTATCTTATAACAAGCATTTTGGATCAACTCTTTGTGACACATGGCAAATAAACATGGTAGTGACACAAACTAAAATTTTGATCTTATTAAGTGTCGACATAAAGAACCCGCCATTCTTTACAAGAAATTACAAAAAAGATATGGCGGTTTTTTTATGTCAGCACTTAATATTTAACAATAGTACTTAATAAAAGTTATAAAAAGTAACCAAGAAAAAAATTATTGACAAAACACATATACATGCTTAAACATATCTTTTTGTCTATTCTGTTACTTATTATACTTCATTCTGTAAAATACGATCACAAGCACTGTCTCTTACCATGTACATAGTGCTAACAATAAAAAGAAACATTCCAAAGATTTTGTGTTGTTTTTGTTCGATTATGACATCTGATGCGTTATAAACAGTACAATTCCAATGCAGTTCGAAGAATTCTGACCTTCTTAACATCAAATCCATTATTTCTTCGGATACTAGTTTTAATACAGTTGTAAGTCTAGTTTTAACGACTCTAAAACAATCTAAAATTAAATTTAAAAAGTTTTTGTAAAGCTTGAGTTACAAAATTTTAAGAGTACATATATGATTTGCAAGTCTCAACTTGACTTTAAAAAATTTTTTTTATTTATCTTCCCATATATCTAACAGAAAGAAGTTATTAATACCATAATGCAAGCAAATTGGCAGGTTTGTTGGTTTCTTAATATTGGCCAAGTGTCACAAATTTAACCAGTCTTGCAACTTTAGTAGAATATTTATAATTATAACATGTAAGATTAGCATTTATCCTAAAAGCATAGGATGGTGGCCAAACTTTCTGGCAATATATAAAAATGCTTGAAATAATGAGTCAAAGATACTATACAGTATAGCTTTTGAATAACGAACTGTTATATAAGGAAAACTGCGTATGACAACAAAACCTTGAATTTCTAGTTGACACTACACAGTGAATTTAAAACTCCCACATACCAAAACCTCTATATGACGACTAAATTTAAAATTCCTAAGCCATTTGTTATACTAGGGTTCCACTGCACTACATTTTTAACAAATAGCTGTAAATGTAAGTTTAAAGACATTAAAAACTATTATTATAGGTATGTTGAAGTACCGTGTTCTTTGTACTAAACTTATGACTAACATGAGGGTCAAAACAAAAAAGGTATTATACTTAGAAGAACAAGTGGGCAACAACATGTTTTAAGCTCCTAATTACTATGAACTGAGCCAACGGGCCATATAAATTAAAAACCAGACAATTAAAGCACGCTACGTACACTAAATTACTTTATTTAAATTTTTAAACTTGTAAAGTTTTACACTAACAAAGGCGGTCCTTGTTTAAATTTTGTCGCTTTTAAGTTTAAAAACTTTTAGCGAAAATTGTGTGCCAAACTAAATTTAAATTCCTTTAAAATGCCATTCTTGTTAAACAGCTTTAAATTTAAAAACGTGCTTTTACTTAAAGTTTTGCTTAAACAAATTAAAAAAAAACTTTTACACGCATAAAGCTACCGTAAGATTAAAGATTTAAAAATTTTTTGAAGCCAATGTATGAGTCGACCGATTACACATAGTTTTTTCTTTGAAATTTATGTGACAAACGACACGTTTCAAGGTGTGGGGTAACGGAAGCGACGCTATTTTTGAGAAGCAACCTCTGACATATATTGTAATCAATGCGTGCTCAAACTTTTTAAACTGTGACATATTTAAACTGCTAGAAACTAAAAGACATACTGTTAAAGTTTAGGTAACGAAAGGCTATGTTTGTCTGCTGTCTGGTGATATTACTATGTTTAGATGTTGTAAAATTGACTTGGATAATATTTCTATAACCCATCGTTCTTAAACTAAGGTATACCTTGGCTTTTAGAACGAGACTTATATAGGATGAAATAGCATATAAAGCTACTGAGAAAATTATTTTTAAAAACTGTTAACTCGCCTTGGCTAGCGAGTTACAATTTAAATTTCTAGCAACACCGTGCTGTTTTCCAAGTGTAGTCAATAATTTATTCTCACTTTTTTACGCCAAAAAATAAGTTTTTTTGTGTAAAACGAAATGTCACAAACCAATGGACATTTTGTCTTACCAGAACATATTCCAGTAAACTAAGAACATGTATGTCAAAGTTGATACAGATTGGTTTACCCATTGCCACGTTAAAAGGGTGGTCAATAATTTCTGCGGTCAGTATACTTATATGCTCAAAAGGTATCTAAAGTAAAAACTAAAGTAAAATTTAATAAGGTTTTTATAAACCTTGCTTTTAAGCCAAAAAAGTTAAGTCTGAATTTTTAAAGCCATCATTTACTCACCATCGAGCTAGTCTATTTACTAGTTTAAATAATGAAAAAATTTTGTTGGTTGTTTCTATTAAAAATAAATTTTCATTTGTATGTCTACCAACTTTTAAAAATTTTTTAATTACATTGTTACTGCGTTACAATTTCTAAGCTACGAAGAGAAACTACAAAGTTTAGTCTGACTATGACTTGACGTTCGAAGTACTGTGAACAGCATTAGCTTTCTTTGTGCAGCCAAACTTGCTGAGTAAGATGCGTTGAATACTCTTGTTCATGCTGAGGTAAATCAGGGGCGGACAACCTGAAAATTTTTTAAAAATTTTTACGTATTTCATAAATTTTAAAAAGTTAAGTCTAAAACATAGTGTACCCTGACATAACAAAAATATACTTTACTTTCTCATCTTAGTTTTATATTAAATTGTTCAAATAAATCTGTGCCACTTAACCCCGAACTTTTGCTTTAAGAAGGGAATTAGAATTAATTGAACAACATAATATACATTACCTTCTAACCTTACTTTTACATAAAAAAAGATTACCTTGTATAAACATCCACAAAACATGACTCAACTGGGACATCCAGATTGGTATTCTGAAGATTTGAATAACAGTGTAGCCGAGTGTAGCCATTGTCGTTGCTGCACTGATGATAAGACATTGCATGAACAACTAAAACAAAAAACACTTACTTTGTTAAAAAGTAATGTAAAAATTATTCATTGAACAAATCGTATTTTACCTTTTTTATACTATAAAATGTATAAAAACGTATCTTCTCGGACTTACACTGTAATCTCTTGCTGACATTTTCTGACTGTCTCTTTGTCTTAACAACGACATGTTCTTGTAGATGAAAGCAATGTAGACAGCAGGCAGTAAAACAGTAAATAGTACGTTGTTTACAGTATGAAATCTCATTACGTACTAAACATTGTATTTCAAAATTATTTTTTCATTGTTATCAGTACATTTTTAAAATTTTAAAGATTTGTTACTCATGCCCTTTCTATATTCTTTTTAGTTATCTATATTTATTGTCTGCCCACTTTTTCTAACTCTCATCCCACCCTTGCTTACCACCTTATCAACATCAGGTACAGTATCGGTAAATGGGTTAAAGACCCAGCTTGCAATGATTGGAGAGTATGTGACAGGCAAACCAAAAACACTGCTGTAAAGGCCAATCAATATTGGCATGGATATCCAAACATAAACTTTATATCCTTCAAACCAGTAACTCTTGTTCAACATGTATGAGATGCGGTTTATTGCCAAAATCATACTGCCCCATGTGTAGGAGATCCAGAAACCTAAAAAACTTTTGGTTACTGTATAATGACATATTTTGTTATACGTTATTATCATAGTATAACTCAATTTTTAGAAAAAGATATTTATGCTAAACGTCATTTCAAAACTATATACAAGATACCATAATATAAGTAAAGGATTTACTTAATAAAATGCATCCACCAATGTTGTTCAACTTCCTAGCATCACAGTACATCAAGCCGTAGTAACTCAGGTAACCGGATATAAAACCAGTGATTTGCACTGTAACCATGTCACAAAATGCCATGAGCAACATTATCTTATAACAAGCATTCTGTATCAATTCTTTGTGGCACATAGCAATGCTACATGGAATTGACAAAAACTGAAAAGTTTAAAATAAAGAAACTATTGTGTTGTTCAACTAATTCTGTGCCCCTTATCACCAAAAAATTACTTTGACAATTGTGAGAAGCGGCACAGAAGTAATTGAACAATATGATGCTTATCACTTACAATATACATAGTGCTAACAGCAAACAAAAACATTCCAAAAATCTTGTGTTCCTTGGCTTCCAGTGGCACTTCTGATGCGTTATAAACGGTACAATTCCAATGCTGTTCGAAGTATTCAGACCTTCTTAACATCAAATCCATGGTTTTGGCAGTCCTATTAAAAGATATGTTTTAGCAAGACATATTGTATAATATTAAAAAGTAGAAAGCTACTTTCAAGCTGGCCGATTTACTTTAAACCCAAGAGCCGTGGCCCAAACTAAGGCGTTAGGAGGGTAGCTTAGGTCCCGCAGCGAAAGATTTGAATTGCAAAGAGCGTAAAACGAATCTGATTTTTATAAGAGAACAAGCCGGGCCAAACTAAAAAATTTGTAAAAATCCGGACCGCCTTTACACGTCGGCCCGAAAGCAGGAACCCAAATTTAGGCCCGGCTCGGCCCCTATACAGATCTAGTCTCTATGGTCTTCCCATCAATGTCATAATCAAAAGATATTTATTTTAGTGTACTTCCTAGGAAGGTACATCTCATCGAACCCAAAATGAACCCGATTTTACTAAAACTACAAGGTATTAATGTAAACGTTGCAATTGCAAATAATTACGTACCACACACAAACAGTAATAATGTTACTTTTAATGCCTAATTACAGGTTCCAAATATTATACGTGTGTTAAAAGTTTCCACGATTCTGTTGTATCTTACATTTACAACCTCTACGTACTAATGTGTCTATTACCTAATATAATAACCTAAGTAAACGTGTTTCTTGTTGTTATTAACAAAGAGCAAGTGATCAAAACGATACAAATTTTAGAACTTTGAAAATACGGTGTTTCTTTATTAATAAGTATTATATTACAGTAAGTTTAATTTCAAAAAAAATTTTAAAACACAGAAGAAGATAAAACGACATATAGTACGACATCGTATGCCTAAATACTAATTCCCGGCAATAAAAGAAACACAAAGTAAAATTTTAAGAAAATGTAAGAACATAAATTCTAATGGATTTTCAATTTTCATGTAAAATTTTTTACTTTATCGTTAATATTTTTATGTTTTATTGAAATGTGAGATAGTATTCTACATTCTTTAAAATCCAATAAATTAAAAAAAAGTGTCCGCACTAACAATTATAAAGTAACGTCTTTCAAAACGAAAAATATGAAGGGAATCTTTATATCGTGTTAGTCAAACTTCATACCCAAAAAAATTTTTTTATAAACAACATTATGTACTATTTAACAATTAGTACGGTTCTGCTTTTCACGGATATTGTGGTGGTTAATATATATGGACAGCGGAAAAGACAAAGCGCGTCGAGCCGCTGAGGAACTGATAAATACTTCTTTGACATTCTTCATAGTAGTTAATAAAAAGAAAGGAAAGAAATGTGAGCATACGGCGTCGTACTATTCCAGTACATTCTTTCCTAGCGCAAAGCTGGAACTGTAGCAAATTTTGGGTTTTAGTTCATCTTCCCAAGCAAGGTGCCGTTGGAGGAGATTGGCAAGCTGTTGCGAATTGGATCGTGGGCTTGATCGCCTGGGCAAAATTTCGCCGCGAGATTGCGTTTGATGCTGTGATTTTCAACGGAGAATCGATTGGTGGTAATGGCAAGACCGTGTAGGAAAAAGGAACTATCAGAAAACATTTTGTGAATAACACTCGGGTTTTTGGAAGTGTTTAATGTTTTTTGAAATTTGAAATTATAATGATCTTCCACCTCAAAGATAACACATTTACTGGCAATAAACTCTTCTTACAATTATAGAAATTAGACAAATGTTGATGAGAAAAATATATAAAGTAAAAGTTATAAACACAAATTAAAATTACAAAAAAAGTTCAAATTTGATGAATATTTGTGATTTGAAAGCTTATGAAGTAGTCATACGAGATTCCACTGGTTATACTGACTAGAGTTGAGTTGTAAGTAACATAAAACTTAAAATTTATTATAGGTAACACATATTTGAATACTGTGGCAAAACACTTTTGAAATTTGTAAAAATTGTGTCTGTAAAGAAAGTTTTTGTCTAAAAAAGTTATAATAAAGCTTTTTATAGTAGAAAAAGTAGTCATTCCTTCAAGATAAGTTTGTAAAGCTATATTAAAATTTTATTAATTAAATTTTTGCCATATTATTCAAATATGTTATCAATATTCCTTAAAACTTTCAAAAAGGTTAACAATAAAGCAAGCAGGTCGATAAAATTGTAATAACAATCATTGCAAAACAAGGCACTCGGAATTTACAACTGGAGTTAGGTAGAATATGTAGAGATTTTTTTAGAAAAAACTATTTTCGACGGAAGTTACAGGTCTTGGGTAAAGTACAACGGTGTTGTGTAGTAGTCATGTATTAATCTGAAACAGATGGTTTATGCAGTAAAAATAGTACTAAAATTTAAAATTTTGATAAACTTTTAAGTAAAAGAAGACATTTACGGCTTTTTGAAAAATATTGCGAAGTGCCACATTTTTTATCGATTTTTCAAGAATGTAACGAAATGTCAAGAAAGCTTTAATTTTGTTAGAACTTTGTAGAAATACTAGATTTTGATATCTTTAACGAAAAATTTACTAAAATGGCTGTTACTTCGAATGTTGCGAAGTGTCACATTTTGTATTGACTTTTTTTAAATTGTCAAAATGCTTTTTTTTTTGAAAACTATGTTTCGTTTTTATGTTTGTCATAAAATCTAAATAATTTTAACGCTTTGTTGCGAAGTGTCACAAATTTTTATCCATTTTCTTAATTAAAACCTTATCAAAGCTGACTTCAACTTACATGGTGTTGGTAAATATTACCGAAAACCGAGTAAGACGGCAAGACTGTAAAAAATTTCAACTAAGAAGCCAATCAGCACCCAATCACCTAGTCACATGTCGGTTGCGGCCGTACCGTGCCGATAGCCGTGCCCATTCAACTCGAGCGACGCGGCGGTCGTCCGATGATGTAGGGCACGTGCGGTTGGTGTCGTAGTTGTAGTGACGGTGCTAGTAACGGCGGGTGTGAGTGGGGTGGTGGTGTTAGGCGGCGGGGAGCTGGGCTGACTTCCGTTGGCGTCGGGGATTTCTTGCGTGGTTATGTGGGGAATCTGGTGTTTCACGGTGTCGGTGTCCGATATCAGCCTGCAATATCGGTTATTAGTGAGAGTATTGAAGGGAAAGGGATGGTAGAAGAAGAAGCTTTAGAAATAAAAAAAAAATGAAAAGATTTGGTTTAGAGATCAAAAAATATTGAAGTAGACGTTCAAGAGATTTTTTTTTAAAACTTGTCGTTACAAAATGTCAAAAACTATGTTAAAATGGCTGCTATAACTTGGTACGATTCATTTACTAAAAGTGAAGATATCAAGCCAAAATCACATTTTTTAAGTTTCAAAAAATCACGTCAAACAAAGCCAAGAAAAGAGACATGAAAGTACGTTGGAAGGTAGATCTAACACAATATAGAATAGGCCGTAGTTTAAAATAAAATGGTTTGCCATCATACAAAAAGGATTCTGCAATATAAATAGAGCTTTTAAAAATCAATTTCACATAATATTGGGCTTTTCAAGTAATTCTGTGCCCTCTAACACCCAAAATTTTTTAAAGCTTTGAAAGAGGGCACAAAATTACTTGAACAACCTAATGTTAGAACGTCTAAAGTTAGATGAACCAATCAGATTTTCCAGCTTTAAAAACTTTGGCTCATTCATATTTGGACAACTCAATTTTAAGAACTAATCACTTTGTAGAAAAATAGATACCACAAGTTATAAAAGATCTCACGTTATAGTAATATAGATCTCACTTCATAGTAATATAGATACCACTTCATATAAAAATAGATCTCACGTCATAATAAAAGATATCCAAGAAGCTCTACGTCTCTTCCGCCGTCTCCGCCACAGCCGACGCGGTAATGGTGGCAGCTTTGGTGAGGGATGGCCTACAGATAAAATTGAATCGTTTTAAGGTTTCACCCATCGACAATAGAGCTACAAACACTGGCTAGCCAAGGACAATGTAGCTATAGCTGTCCACGGTATTTTGCTACAGTAATCGTTCAGATTTTGGATGATTGCTATGGTAAAACGGTTGTTTTACGACAGCAATCATAAGGCTTTATGTTTTACTTTGGCATAAGATTAAAAAAAAGTTTTAAAAGGTTGCCAGAGGGTTTTAAATTCTTTGCCTGCGGTTTTTAAACTGCTATTCTATAACAATTACTGTAGCTTCAAAATCAGGTAGCTAAGCCATTGTATATAAACAAAAAAAGTACTGTTAGCTACTATCTAGCCATGGATAATATGACTACTCTCTAGCTAATCTCACAACGATTCACATAGCTATAATACAACATTGAAGGCTACAGTATGAAGAGATCTATCTATTACAGGAAGAGGTATTATGAAAGCATGCTTTACGTAAAGTAACTACTGTAAGCTCTATTTGTAAACAATAGGTATACAACATTGAAGTAGAAGCGGAAACGTGAGAAAGATGGCCATGTTAGTTGATATTAGTGTATTACATTGTATAAAAAGTAATGAGCTACTGAGCTCTACATTAGATGTACTAAACTCTACATTAGATGTTAGGCATAGCTCATTCTTTTTCATACAACTTTTTAGAAAACAGTGTTGGACCTTTCATATCATACTGTAGATTGTATGTTCGAATTTTTTTTAAATTTTAAAATTTAATAAAAAAAATGAAATTGATTATCACACCCAAAGCTATACCTTTTACAGCTGATCATCCGCTACGATGATCGGAATTTCGGGCGGTTTCGGACTTTCGGTCGGACGCCTAGCAAATAATGCACTATTAGGAATACAGTACGTGCTGTGTCAAACCGCAGTGCAACTCTCAATTTTATTTTTGGGTAACATGTTAAGCGACAGATCAGGAGAAGACATGCAATGAAAATGTTAGAAAAGTTGGGACAAGTTATACTTTCGACGACATTCAGCTGGGCATGGTAAGGTGGCTAGAAAAATGGGGGTTTGGGGGTGTCCTTAAATTTAATTTTTTTTTTAAATTTCACTTTTGTTTGAACTTTTCAATTTTTGAAAACATTTTTTTTCTGAGCCACCATACTCATACGCATAGCAATGCTGGGCTGTTTAAAAAGTTCTATCAATTTGTATAAAAAGTAATGAGCCACGGAACATATATATCAGCTATAAGAAATTGCTCATCATTTTTATACAAGCCTAAAATTAACCAAAACAACCTTCCAACCAGCCCAACACAAAACAATGACATCTCACAACTAACAACCATGACATTCCTCAACTTACCGCGCCTGATTCCCGTAGCCACTCGTGTTGTTGTAGCTGTTGTGCATCCGGCCGTGCCTCATGAATGGCGCCGCTGAACGATTATTTCTCATAAAAGCGGCTTGACCACCGATTGGCAACGGAATCTGGCCTGGGGCTGGTGGTTGGGCGTTACTCTGCGTGGTTACTGTCTGACCCGTGCCAACTTGGCCGTCGCTGCGAACCGACACCAAGTCGTCCATTTGACCCGTTTGATTGCGATAGTCGGGATGACTGTCATTCTGAAATTTCTTCAACGTAACGCTTGGAAAATGAGTTTTTTTTGAAATTTTAAAATTTAAAATTTTAAAAAATTTCAAAAATTTTCGATTTTTTAAAATCTTATTAGAAAAAAGTGACAACTAACAAGGAAAGTAATCAACCTGCACCGCTGGAAACCATCTCAAAATTTTTGTATGAATTCAGTGCACCAATAATAGAACCCTTAAAAAATTTTAGCCCGCGTTTTTAAGTTTTAAAATTTAAGTATTTGAATTTCCCGCCAATATGCCAAACTTGGCATTGTGTTTCAAGCACTTTTTTGACTTTTCAGACAAACTAAGCTTAAAAATTTTTAAAAATAAAGGTTCAAAAGTTATAAGCTTGAAACTCAATGCCAATTTAGCGGACGATTCAAAACTTAAATTTTTGATCTTGATTTTCTTGAGATTTACAGGGAAGTAGTTGCTTTGCTGCAGCTGAAGATATTATATTTACATGACCTTTCTAAATCAAAAGTTTGAATTCAATCAGAGCGAAGCTTTTGAAATTTTTAAAATTTCAAAATTTTTCTTAAAATTTAATTTTGAAAAATAAACCAAACTTCAACACAGCCTAAACACTTACTCCAAACTCCCAGTTACTGCGTGGCCTGCGTTGATTGCTGTTCCTTCGCTTCTTCCGACAGCAATAAAAGGCAAAAGCGCTGAAGAGAAGCAGGTAGAAGGTGATTGTCACTGCCAGAAAGCATAGTCGAATATCGTGCATATAACTCGCGATCTCGCTGATATCCGACGATAATCGGTTGAATTTATGACCCGCAGTACTGAAATTCAAAAAATGATTTTTTTTTAATTGTAAAAATTTTTAATTAAAAAAATTTTTTTTTGAGTTTTTTTACAAAATTTTAATTTTTTTAAAATTTTAGAAAAAAAAATTTTTTTCATTTTTAAAAATTTTGTTATACACAAAACACCACAATACAACACATTTTACTACAACAGTAATAAACTTCTAATATTCATTGTTTTTCAATGCGTATTTTACTTTTACCTTACCATTTTGTCAAAAGTATTACGTAAAAACCCAACTTTTCCATCCAAAGCCCTCAAATATTCAAAAACCTGCTATTTTTTATCAAAAACTCAAAAGTGACAACAAAAATAGAAACTCATTACCACGAATTTCCACTCTTCACCCAGCCCAAACACCAATATTTCGTATATTAATCAGCAAGTCAAACCTTTCCGACCGGTCGACCCGCCCAACAACTCCAGAAGGAGCGGCGAGTCGGCGGACACGACATGATGATGATGGTGCTCTACATGCTCGGCCGACATGCCCGCATAGTACTGGAATATTGGATATGATTCCGAAAATTGGAAGCTCCCTGCCCCCCTCTTAACGAAGCCAATGTTTGGTCGCGCAGAAGAATAAAAAAACTTTTTACTTTTTACGTTTTACTCAAACGACAGAGGGGGGGGGGGAGTACTATGAAGAATGAGGTCGGCCCAAGGGTAAGTGCATTAATACACAAAAGAATTTTTTGTTGAAAGGTCAGCTTGCGCGGGTTTTGAACGGTGCTTGAAACAGTTTCGAATTGAATAGAACAGTTTTTGAAGTCAGATATTATTGTACTTAGTGTTAGAGTAAATTAGGCAGTGCTTTAACTAGGCAAAAATAGAGAGGTGTTCTAGGTAAAAGTTCAGTTAACAGGTGAAATTTTTAATCTAAAATGCGTGGTTTTTATGTAAAAAGCTACCATAAAAAATTGCCTAAACCTGATTTTTTTCAATTAAAAAAAAATTTTTGTAAAGGCAAGTTTTCGACACAATAAGCTGCCCTGAAGATTTAACAACAAGCATATACCCCTACAATAAAAAATTTTAAACAAAAAATTTTTGGCTTTAAAAATTTGGAAAACCTCATATTAAAAACTAACCCTTAACGAAGACTTATGTTTATTACAGCCTCAAGTTTTAAAAAGTCTTGTCATTATACTACAGGAAACCCTCTTTAGTATGACACTCAAGAGACTGGTCTTTATAACCAGGGTGTCACAATATTCAACTACTTCTTGATAGAGGCTCTATTACAAAGGGCAGTTAGAAAACAGTCATTATAAAGAGGGTGTCCTCAATAGTGTCATACTATTGAGGAATGTACTAAACAGGTTCCACACTATACTAAAAAGATTTCACTGTATACCTTAAAAAGTAATTTTTTGCCCAAATTTAGCTATTGTATCACCCTCCCCACGAAAAACACTATGTCTAAACAACAACACTTCTTGCCGACATGACATTTCATAGTCACATTAATGTGTTTTTCCATTTACTTCCTTAGGGAGGTACAACATTTTATTCCTACGCAAAAATTTAATGTTTTACTAATTTATGAACGTTGAAAAGCTGAGTTTTAGGCTAACATTAGAGCAATGAAAAAATCTTGTCGTTTTTAATCGTGAAAATAGATATAGATTGGCGACGAAACTTTTTGCTCAACTTTTAAATCTCTCTTTTTAAAAGTTTAAGTTATAAAGTTGTATGAAAATTAATGAGCTATGTCTTATAGCATATACGAAGGTTAGTAGCTCATTACTTTTTATACAACATAACAATACTTTTAATTTCATAGTACTTAGAACATACTACGTTCTTAAAGTTGTAAAATATGCCAATCAAAAGCTGTGTACCATAAAGTTATAAAATGTCATATGCCTCAAATCAAGCACCGTTCAGCCCCCCCCTCCTATCATCCCCAAATTTTAACTTCGAAAATGATGACATAGCTTAACACCCATGCCAACACAAAGCTGGTAGAGAGGTACATTAACTCAAAAAACATTATACGCCTTCTCATTAGGTCGCATTAAAATTGACAGGTGAGTTGGAATCCGCTGACAGGTGCCACAGGGTATATAAAGCTTGACTCGCTAATTAATCAAAACTACAACATAAAAGTGGGTTTGGGCTTAATTTGAATATATATTGGGGTTGTAGATTTTGTAAAATACGAAAGGCGGTATTTGGCTGTCAGATTGTTTAAATAATTTTGTGCCCTCTACCAAAGTAAATTTTCAGGGTTAGGTAGCTCAGAATTTTTTGAACAACCTAATATTTTAATAATTTTTAAATAAAAAAAATTGTAAAATACGAAATGGGAAGTTTGGTTTAAAAAACAAATTTGTACCTTCAATCAAAACAATGTTTGAGAGTTGGGTGGCTCAGAATTTTTTAAACGAAATATTTTTAAAAATTTTTAAAATTAAAAAAAAATTCGAAAATTAAAAAATTTTTAAAAAATTATTAAATTCAAAAAAAAATCAAATTTCAATCCACTTCAAATCAATTTTTCAACAAAAATTTAAACCTTCATGCATCTTCAAATACCTGATCCAACTGTCCGACGGTACCGCATTATGGGTATTGTAGCGTATTTCCCTTCGATGCGGCATTTTGAGCGATTTTCAGTAAGATTGAGCGGTAATATTAGCCATAATAGATTTAAAAATATTTTTTGAGATTTTTAAATTTAAAAAATTTTTAAAAAGGTTTAGAAAGCCATGTTATAGTTAGTTGATGGCTTGTAGTTGGTGTTAGTACAATATTTTTAAATACAAAAAATTTTTTCAAATTTTTTTTGAAATATAGTATAGTACTGATAGAGAAAATTGTTTCTTGGTCTTATCAACTTCAGAAAAAATTTAATTTAGTACCAAAAATAATACGACAAAGTCAAATTAAAAAACCGATGGTCAGAAAGTCGCAAAGATTCGTATTTTACACCGAAATTAGAGGCTCCAGAATCCGCAGCTTCTCCAAAACCGACTCTAGTGTGACAGTTGGGACGAAGAAAAAGTTGGAGGACAAGCCAAAGGTTTGGCGGAATTGGGAGTAACGAAAAAACACATCGGAATTTCAACGAACCGTAACCGAAGCGTGCCTCCAACAAGCCCTGAGGGCGTCGGCCTTCTGATAATCGCATTGCACGGCTCTTACAAAATACATACATTTAGATCAAGTTCAAGTTGCGCTAAGTGGATTTTGTGGGCCCGAAAAGTGAGTTTCGCTTAAGGGGTATGGGTGTCTTTGTCCGCCGGGAATTGCCCACTTTTATACGTTACCGGACATGTTGAATATGAATATATACATGCAGTATGAATGCACATGCAAATGTAATTGAAAAGCGTCTGTTTCGGGCCAAAAGTTTCGCAAAAAACGTTTTTTGTGGACTTTTTGGAAAGAAAGTTTTTGCTTATGTTAAGGTACTGTATTTTTCAAATATTAATTTTTTTTTACTTTTAAGATGAAGCCATCACACAACATAGAAAATCACAAGCACAACATATACACTTACTTATATACAACATTTTCAAAACGAAACGTCAAAAAAGTCTTGTCGTCATTTATCATTGATTCGCATAGTGAAAAACGCCAAGACTTTTCTAACAGTCTACATCAAACAAATTTATACCATATATATAAATATATACCTACTTAAACAAAATAACTACCAATACTCATGTAATATACCAGTCCTTACCCATCTTTCATAGTCTTTTCAAGGTCGGCTACACTCAGAATCCATACGCTCATTTAGACACGAAAAGCACAACGTGAACAACAAATTTTAATTTTATCTTGGTCATAAGCAACTCTACCACCTTTTTCGACCACAAAACATTAACTCCAGCTGAATTTTGAGTTTTAGGCAAGTATGATTGTCGCGAAGTAAAATACATTTCAGAAGATAATAAAGGCAATAATAACAAATTTTTAGATAAAAAATCAATTTAAAAATACAATTTCCAAATTCAGAAGTATTAAAGAACCTAAATTTAGCAAAAAATTGTCATTTCTTATCAAAAAACGATAATAAAATCATCAAAAATACAAAAAAACAAGGCACAGCATGTTATACTTGTACTATCATATACTCGTACTAAATACCATCGACAAAAAAAGTAAAAATTTGTAAAAAAAGAGCCCAAATGTGTTGATAACGCACATCCGGACAAGATTATCCATAGATAATATTAAAAATATACGTAAAAACTTTGCTTGAAATTAGCGCCTACTTTTCATACCAAGCGTTTATAGAAAATTTATAGCAAAAAAATAAAAAAAAATTTTAAAGCTAAAATTTACAAAAAAAAATTTCGATCTAAACCCCAGTCTTCAAACCTTCATACGCCGTCCCGGCCCGGTCTTTTAAAATTGCGTTGCCCCAATCATGCGACGCCCGGGCCAAGCCTATTGCCTTTTTTAGGTCTAGTACAAACTAAAAAGCCAACGTTTTATAACTATACGCTAAAAGTCAACGTTCCACCCTGTAGACATTAAGAAGTCGACGTTCTTTTTCTGAAATTATCTTTGGCCTTTCCTCGGTGCAAATTTGCATACCTAAAGACGGGACGTCACGGAAAGCGTAGAAACCCGTTTTGCATATTTAGAATCTTTTTTTCTTTTCAAAGTTCTATTTTTGTTAAGTATTCTGAAAGTTTCCAAAAACCAATTTGAAAGTTTTTTACAAAACTATGTTTTTCCTATAAGTTTTCTAAAAGGGCTATAAAAAGGGTAAGAATTCGATTTGAAAAAGGCTGGACTAGATCGTGCAAGCCCCAAAGACCAAACCCAGTTTAGGTCCTGCAACGAAAGATTTGACTTGCAAAAAGTGTAAAGCAAATCTGACGTTAAAGCTAAAAAATTTATCTCAGCCCAGACTTTTTCACAAGTCTAGTTTGGACTAAATAAAAAATTTGTTAT